TCTTTATATTCGGGTCCAACCCCATGTACAAATGTAATCATACACTATTATAATGAGAACATACTTCTCCGTGGACGTAGCCCATTCATTAAGGGTGAACCACGTATATCTTGTCTTCTTTACATTTATCGCTTGCCCAAGTCTTTATACACATGCTTAAGGTCCTCACCTTCATTCATCATCCATCACACCTCATCACTAAGTTGGACTCAATCTTGGCCTAACCATTTTGAGCATCAACAATGTAAATCTAAACAAGAAGCTTGCCCTGCTCTGTGACGTTACTGTCCCGGATTTCAAGAGGAGTAGGAATATTGGGGATCCTAATTAGTTATCATTTCTTCAACTTTTACAATCTACCAATTAATAATGTGGCGTTAAAGGATATGTTTTTTTTTTCCTTCTTTTTTATAATACAGAGAAAGAGGATTTCTCACACACACACATAGCTATGATGGTTTAAACCTGAGATCTCTAGTTTGCAAGTCAAGACCTTTTTCCACTAGATTAGACTCCGTTGGCATGTTGCTTAATTATAAAGGAAAATATGTTCTTAATAACCTCTAGAGAGCTCCTTCAAAGGCTGCCCGCGTATTACATGAAATAACCTTCTCTTTTTAAGAATTTGAAAGGGACATCCCGTAAAACTTCTTAATTACGAAGAATAATGTTCTACTTATGTTGTTCGAGTCTAAATCTACATCACATATATGAGGAGAAATAATCTAAGCAATGGTTGAAATTCTAGTATCAAATTCTATGGTCGCAGGTCTAGTGTCCGTGATTTGGAGTTCCATATGCGCATTCTAGTGTCCAAACAATTGCGGATCTTGTCCCTCTCCCATATGATTTGAGGGTTTAGAGTTCGGGTTTAGAAAGCCTAAAAACATAGGTTTAATTATTATATTGGTCATACGTGAGAATCCCTTTAACCCGTTTGTAACTCAAAATGTATTTTTTATTACAGCAACGAAGCAGATGGGTTCATTCAACATTTAGTCCAAAGGGTTTTGACTGAAATAAACAAAACCCCAGCTGCATACACAGTGGGACTTGATTCCCGAGTTAGACTTGAATGTTGGATCCAGCGGAGTTCGAGTTCTGGGAATTCATGGCATGGGCGGGGTTGGCAAGACAACACTTGCCAAGGCTCTTTTCAACAGGCTTGTTAGTCATTTTGACTGCCACTGTTTGATCTCAAATGTTCGAGAAATCTCAGCAGGACATGAGGGTTTGCTATCTCTCCAAAACAAACTCATTGGTAATCTTTCCCCTAATAAGGTGCCTCCTGTAAATGAGCTTGAGACTGGCGTTGCTGCAATCAGAGCGATTGCGTATGAGAAGCAAATTCTTCTTGTTCTGGATGATGTTGATAATGTGAGCCAACTAAGTGCTTTAGTTGGCAACAACACAGAATGGTTTTACAAAGGAAGCCGAATTATCGTTACCACGAGAGATATAAAAGCCTTACCAAGTCATCTTGTGAATAAGTTGTATGAGGTGAGGGAGTTGGATTCGTCCAAGGCACTACAACTTTTCAATTACCATGCTCTGAGAAGAGAAAAGCCCACAGATGAGTTCTTCAATCTGTCAAGGGAAATTGCAGCTCTTACAGGTGGGCTACCCTTGGCTCTTGAAGTGTTTGGTTCTTACCTCTTTGATAAGAGGAAGATAGAGGACTGGAGAGAAGCTCTGCAGAAGCTGAGCAAGATTCGTCCAGGTGATCTTCACGATGTGCTAAAGATAAGTTATGACGCACTAGACAAGCCAAACAAGTATATCTTCCTAGATATTGCATGTTTATTTGTAAAGATGAACATGAAGAGAGAAGATGCAATTAACATATTGAAGGGTTGTGGTTTTGCTGGCGAGATAGCCATTTCTGACCTCACAGCAAAGTCACTTATTAAGATCACTGAAGACAGTACACTGTGGATGCACGATCAGATTAGGGACATGGGAAGGCAAATCGTTAGAGACGAAAACCTTTTGGATCCCGGCATGCGTACTAGACTGTGGGATCGTGATGAAATCATGAATGTCTTCAAGGATGATAAGGTAAAGATTCCAGCATGATAAATTTTATTCTATTAAATTTTATTGTTTATATATATTCATACCTACTTGACAATAGGGAACAAGACATATACAAGGGATAGTCCTAGACTTCGAATCAAGGACAATGAAGGTGAGGGATCCAGGTGGTGACAGAATTTCTTGGAATAACTTTCGAAGAGGTCCAACTTTTACCTCTGCAGTTACATACATTAAGGAAAGATACAAAGCACATCACCAAAATAAAGCAGAGAAAAAAAGAGAGGTTATAATATGCTCAAAACCCCTTGCAGCAATGGTCAATCTTAGACTGCT